GGCAGGAGAATAGTCCAAAAAAACTCTCTGGAAATGATTTGGAGTCTCCAGGCTCCACCAGAGTCTCCAGGAGCAAGTCAGAAAGGTGCCAAGAATGCGGATCTCTTTCAGTTTCAGGAACTACTTTGCTCCTTTCAGGCCACAGGAGTGAAGTTTGGGTTCTTCTGGGGGTGGTTTTTGTTTTCCTTGGCCAAGGAATGAACCCAAAAACCCCTCCTATTTTTATTTTTTTTTTTTGGTGGACCAACCAAGAGGCTGAGAAGGTGACCAAGAGTTTTGCAGGATGGTTGAGGTTTCTTTTCCACAGGCTGAAGGGTGGAAGTCTGGGAACAGCAAAACAAAACCCAACCCTCTTCCATGGAAAGTCATCCCTGTTTGCTGGGAATGTTCAGATGGTCCTGAACTGGAAGGGTTTGGCCCCCAAAGTTCAGCACTGCTGAGGAGCACTTGGTGGGACACAAACCCATCTCTGTGCATCCTTGGCCAGACCAAGTCCTGGTTTTGCTTCCAGTAGATTTTCCCACCAGGAATTCAGGTTCAAGTCTGGTTCTGGTTTTGCTCAATGGGGAGGACCTAGGCAGGAGCCCCACCAGCAGGTTCCTGGTGGTCTCAGGAATCACAGAATCATGGATGGGTTGGGTTGGAGGGACCTTAAAGACCATCTAGATCCACCCCTGCATGGGCAGGGACACCTCCCACCAGCCCAGGCTGCTCCAAGCCCCACATCAGATACCTGGAACACTCCAGGGATGGGGCAGCACCTTGAAGATCATCTGGTGGGATCATCTGGGTGGGCTTGAAGGTCCTTCCAACCCAAACCATCCCATGAGCTGAATTCTATGATTGTAGGTCTTGCATGATCACATGGTGTGACAACAGAATCATGGAATGGGTTGGGTTGGAGGGAGCTTCAAGATCATCCAGTCCCACCCCCTGCCTGGGCAGGGACACCTCCCACCAGCCCAGGCTGCTCCAGCCCCATCCAACCTGCCCTTCAACCCCCCCAGGGATGGGGCAGCCACAGCTTCCCTGGCCCAGGCTCGCCCCACCCTCCCAGCCAACAAGTTCCTCCTCAGCTCCAACCTCCAGCTCCCCACTGCCAGTTTCAAGCCCTTCCCCCTCATCCCCTCCCTCCTGCCCTTGGCGCAAGTCCCTCCCCAGCTTTCCTGGAGCCCCTTCAGGCACTGGAAGCTGCTCTAAGGTGTCCCTGGAGCTTCTCCTCTCCAGGGTCACCAACCTGCCTCTAGGTTGGTCTTTGCTCCTGTGTTATTCCCAGCTCTGGTTGTTGTGGTTGCTCATGGAAGGAAGATGGTGGTGGTGAGGATCCTGCTCCTGGGCAGACACTGGGGGCGTGTGACTCAGGTCCTGAGCAGGTTCCATCCTCTGGTGTCTTCTCCCTTCCACCCAGACCTGATGAGCTGGGAGTGAGTTGTGCAAGTTGGGAGGGAAAAAGGAAAGTGATGAGACAGAGGAAACCACTGCAGGAAAATCAGTTCCAGGTTTGGAGTGGGTTTCTCAAGGGCTTTGGGAGGGAAGTGGTGGGTTAGGTTGGACATGGAGAAGAACTTGTTGGCTGGGAGGGTGGGGAGAGCCTGGGCCAGGGAAGTGGTGGCTGCCCCATCCCTGGGGGTGTTGAAGGGCAGGTTGGCTGGGGCTGGAGCAGCCTGGGCTGGTGGGAGGTGTCCCTGCCCATGCAGGGGGTGGATCTAGATGGTCTTTAGCTCCTGGGATGGTTTGGGTTGGAAGGACCTTCAAGCCCACCCAGATGATCCCACCAGATGATCTTCAAGGTGCTGCCCCATCCCTGAAGTGTTCCAGGTATCTGATGTGGGGCTTGGAGCAGCCTGGGCTGGTGGGAGGTGTCCCTGCCCAGGCAGGGGTGGATCTAGATGGTCTTCAAGGTTCCCTCAACCCAAACCATCCCATGATCCTATGATTCCCTCTCAGGGTCTCCTCTAGTTGAGCTTTTCCCACCTCTTTAAACCTGGTGGCTTCTGTGCTGCTCCATCCCCTGGAAGCTCCCAGTGATGTTCTCCAGGTGCTGAGGACCATGACACTGCCTTCCCTCACCAGCACCTCGTGGCTGCTGGGGCTCTGCTGCTCCCCATAACCCCCCAGAAAGGATGATCTGAGCCTTGAAATCCCCTGCCCACGGATGGATTTGCTGTGGTGGGAATGAGGGGATGGGACTCTTTGGATCTGACCAAGCATGGCTGCTCTGAGCACACCCCAGGGTGACAACCTGGGGGGCTGTGCCTCCTCAACAACCCCTTTCAGAGCTGGTTTTATCTTCCTGGTGCTGCTGGAAGGAGGTCAGGGCTTCCAAGCCCAATTGTTTGGCTCTTCCCAAGAAGGCAGAACGTCAGCCCTGCTGGCAGGGTGACCTTCCCGTGGGTGGAGGGGAACTCCTGGCTGAGCTCCCCCCCCGTGGCCCCAACGTCACTTCCACGATGGGGCTGAGCAATGTTTTCCAAGAAGTCAGAGACTGGTGGGAATTGCATCTGGCAGGAGCTCTGGTGGTGACTGGGAGCTGGAGAAAGGGAGAGGAGGATGGGGGAGATCCCTCCTGGGTTGTGTGGTCACAGAGTCACGGGGTGGGGGGGTTGGGAGGGGGCTCTGAAGCCCCCCCAGTGCCACCCCCAGCACAGCAGGGGCACCTCCAGCAGGTCCCCCAGGATCCAGCTGGGGCTGGGATGCTCCAGAGAAAGGAGAATCCACCACCTCTCTGGGCAGCCTGGCCCAGGGCTCTGCCACCCTCACAGCAACAGGTTCCTGCTCAGAGAACCTGCAGGTTTGGGTTGGAGGGACCTTGAAGATCATCCAGTCCCACCCCCTGCCTGGGCAGGGACACCTCCCACCAGCCCAGGCTGCTCCAAGCCCCACATCAGATACCTGGAACACTCCAGGGATGGGGCAGCACCTTGAAGATCATCTGGTGGGATCATCTGGGTGGGCTTGAAGGTCCTTCCAACCCAAACCATCCCAGGAGCTAAAGACCATCTAGATCCCACCCCCTGCCATGAGCAGGGACCCCTCCCACCAGCCCAGGCTGCACAAAAACCTCCTCCAACCCAGCCTTAAAAACCTCCAGGGCTGGGGCATCAACAACCTCCCTGGGCAACCCATCCCAGCTCCTCACCACCTGAGAGGGAAGAATTTCTTCCTAATCTCTCACCTCCATCTCCCCTCACTCAGTTTAAAACCATCACCCCTTGTCCTCTCACCATCTTCTCTGGTGAAAAGTCCCTCCCCAGCTTTCCTGGAGCCCCTTCAGGCACTGGAAGCTGCTCTAAGGTCTCCCTGGAGCTTCTCCTCTCCAGGCTGGACACCCCAACTCTCCCAGCCTGGCTCTCTGCTGAGGAAGGACTGAGGTCCCTGGATAAGAACAACTCGAGGGGTCTTCTGAGGTCCTTTCAAGCCCTCTGTGGTTCAGGAGCTGTGTGGGCAGCAGCTGCTCAGCTCTGCTCTTGCCCATCCTTGCTGAGCTCCTGGTTGTCCCAGCAGCTCCACTGGGAAATCCAAAGTTCCAGGAAATTGTTCCAGAGGTTAAAGGCTCCAGTTGAGCACCTTGTGCTGTCCCCACCCCTCCTGTCCTCTCTGGGCTGGTTGCTGGGTTCTCCAGAGGGTTCCTGAGGCTCCCATAGCAACCAGGTCTCCTCCTGCATCCAGCCAGGAGGGTGTGGGAAGCAGAGCAGCAGGTTCTGCTCTCAGCACAGAATCACAGCACCAGGTTGGAAGGGACCACAAGGATCATCTGCTCCAACCTTCCTGGGTAGAAACCTGGGCTGGAGCCAGGCAGGACCAGGGGGTGGAGTTGGACCCTCTCCTTGGGCTGGAGAAGTTTGGAGCTGGCTCAGACCATTGTGTTGTCTCTGTTTGAATTGCAGGTGGTTCCATGTCCCAGCTCCAGAGCTCCTGGGAAATGCACCAGCAGAGGGGGGGGTGTCCTGATCCAGGTAAATGATGACCCTCCTGGAGGGGCTTCTCCAGGGGTCACAGAACCAGGGGCTTCTCCAGGGGCTTCTCCTTCAGGCCATAGAATATAATCATGAAATGTGTTGGTTTGGAAAGGACATTTCAAGGTCTAGTCCCACCCCCTGCAGTGAGCAGGGACATCTTTAACTAGACCAGAGCTCAGAGCCCCATCAAGCCTGACCTTGAATGTCTTCAGGGATGGGGCCTCCACCACCTCTTTGGGCAACCTGTTCCAGCCTCTCCCCACCCTCCCAGCCAACAAGTTCCTCCTCAGCTCCAACCTCCAGCTCCCCACTGCCACTTTCAAGCCCTTTCCCCTCAGCCCATCCCTCCTGCCCTTGGCCCAAGTCCCTCCCCAGCTTTCCTGGAGCCCCTTCAGGCCCTGGAAGCTGCTCTAAGGTCTCCCTGGAGCTTCTCCTCTCCAGGCTGGAACTCTCCCAGCCTGGCTCCAGAGCTGCTCCAGCCCTCCCAGCATCTCCGGGTGCTCCCATGGCCTCTCTCCAACAGCTCCGTGTCCTCCCTGTGCTGGGGGCTCCAGAACTGGCCCCAGTTCTCCAGGGGGTCCCAGCAGAGCAGAGCAGAGGGGACAATCCCCTCCCTGGCCCTGCTGGTCACACTCCTGGTGACACAGCCCAGGACACGGGGGGTTTTGATGGCTCATGTGGAGCTTCTCCTCACCCAACACCCCCAGCTCCTTCTCCTCACCCAACACCCTCAGCTCCTTCTCCTCAGCTGCTCTCCAGCCCTTCTCCCCACAACCTCTGCTTGTCCTCGGGGTCCCCCCCACCCAGGGGCAGGACCCTGCCCTTGGTGACCCCCCCAGGTTGGCACAGCCCCCCCTCTCCCCCTGCCCAGCTCCCTCTGGATGGATCCCTGCCCTCCAGCCTGTCCCCTCCCCACACCCCTGGTGCCCTCAGCACCTGCCTGGGGGGACATCCATCCATCCCACCACCCGTGGCCAACCAAGGTGTTGAAGATGTTCCCAGAGTGAATCCCTGGTTCTCTCCCTTCTCCCAGAGCTGGAGCCCATGGCTGCCAGCACCTCCCTCCCTGACCCCACCAGTGACCTGGACAGGAACGTGCCCCGGATCTGTGGCGTCTGTGGGGACAAGGCCACCGGTTTCCACTTCAATGCCATGACCTGTGAGGGCTGCAAGGGCTTCTTCAGGTGGGTCTGAGGGGGTGGGGTGGCAGTGGACCTTCCTCCACAACCAGGGGGCCCCCAGCTCCCCGTGCCCTTCCAAAGCTGCAAGGAACAAGTGGTGGGATGAGGGGAAATGGTCTCAAACTGCACCAGGGGAGGTTTGGGTTGGAAGGGACCTCAGAGATCATCTCAGTCCAACCCTCCCTGGTTGGGCAAGGACCCTAAAGATTGTGCAGCCTCCCAGTAGAGCTGGTTGGGTGGTGGGAAAAATGTCTTTACTGAAGGGAACATAGAGGAAATGGGATGTTGAGGAGCTGGAACATGTCTAGAGAAGGACAAAGGAGCTGGGGAAGGGGCTGGAGCACAAGGAGAAGGGTCTGGAGGAGCAGGAGAAGGGTCTGGAGAAGTTGTGAGGAGCAGCTGAGGGAGCTGGGGGTGTCCAGCCTGGAGCAAAGGAGCTGAGGGGAGACCTTCTGGCTCTGCAGCTGCTGAGAGGAGGTTGGAGCCAGGGGGGTCGGGCTCTGCTCCCCAGGAACAAGGGATGGGACCAGAGGAACCGGCCTCGAGTTGCCCAGGGGAGGTTGAGGTTGGATCTGGGGAACAATTCCTGCCTGGCAAGGGGTGTCAGGGCCTGGCCCAGGCTGCCCAGGGTCCCCAGCCCTGGAGGGGCTTCCAAGGGCTGGAGATGGTGCTGAGGGACGTGGGGCAGGGGGGGCCTTGGCAGGGCTGGGGGAAGTGTTGGTGGGGTTGGGTTCTGGTTGGTGGGGTTGGGTTCTGGTTGGACTCAAGGATCATAGAATCATTAGACTCACAGAACCATTCAGGTTGGAAGGGACCTTAAAGATCCTCAGGTTCCAACCCCCCTGCCATAAGCAGGGACCCCTCCCACCAGCCCAGGCTGCACAAAAACCTCCTCCAACCCAGCCTTAAAAACCTCCAGGGCTGGGGCATCAACAACCTCCCTGGGCAACCCATCCCAGCTCCTCACCACCTGAGAGGTCTTTTCCAACCAGAAGGACTCTGTGGGTTGTGGATGCTCTTTGGGGCTTGGTTTGAGCTCCACACCCCTGGGGGTGGTGGGGCTGGTGCTGCCCTGTTCTCCTGGGAGTTCCCATCACTCTCACCTTGTGAGACAGTGACTCAGGGCTGATAAAGGGTCAAGATAAGGACCAATGTGGGCCTGGCTGGGCTGGGCCTTGCTCAAGGTGGTTGCAAACACCCCAGCACCCAACCTTGGGCTGTCCCAGCAACCAGAGCTTGACCTTTCCCAGCCAAGTCACGACTCCTGATGATCTAGAGAAGTTCCTTCCAACCCCCAGTGCTCCTTGGCTCCTCCTCCTGCAGGAATTTGGGGCTGGAGGAGGTTTCTCACATTCCAGAAGCTCAGAGTGTGGTTTCAAACGGGGCTTCAAAGCCCAACCAACCTGAGGGGCATCATTCTCCTCAGTGACTGCAGCTAAAGGAGGAACTCCCAGGTTCTCCAACCTTCTCTGGCCCTGGGTTTCACTCCAAATACTTGGGGTGATGTTTCCACACTTAGAATTTTCTCCTCCAATCAAGTGTTCCTCACCACGAGGAACCATCATCCCTTGGGAGTCTGAACAGCTGTGTGATCACAAGGCTCCAAAGTTCAGTTCCATCATCATCTCCAAAGGTCCTTCAGGAGGTGGCAAAGATGCTAAAAAGCAACGAGATTTATTTCTTGACCTGGATGAACCTTGAATGGCAAGAGATGGACCCAGTTTTAGTAAGAACGTGGCTGCCCCATCCCTGGGGGTGTTGAAGGGCAGGTTGGCTGGGGCTGGAGCAGCCTGGGCTGGTGGGAGGTGTCCCTGCCCATGCAGGGGGTGGGACTGGATGGTCTTCAAGGTCCCTCCAACCCAAACCATTCTGTGATTCTGTGATTGTAGGTCCTGCATGATCACAATGGTGTGACAATAGAATGATGGAATCATGGAATGGGTTGGGTTGGAGGAACCCTGAAGACCATCCAGACCCACCCCTGCATGGGCAGGGACACCTCCCACCAGCCCAGGCTGCTCCAAGCCCCACATTAGATACCTGGAACACTCCAGGGATGGGGCAGCACCTTGAAGATCATCTGGTGGGATCATCTGGGTGGGCTTGAAGGTCCCTTCCAACCCAAACCATCCCAGGAGCTGAATTCTATGATTGTAGGTCTTGCATGATCACATGATGTGACAACAGAATCATGGAATGGGTTGGGTTGGAGGGACCTTCAAGACCACCTAGATCCACCCCCTGCATGGGCAGGGACACCTCCCACCAGCCCAGGCTGCTCCAGCCCCAGCCAACCTGCCCATGGTGCAGAAGTGCTCAGGGGCAGCAGCAGAACTGCTGGAGAACCTCGTGGTAGATCTCACCCAGCTTGGGGACCTCCCTGTGGGCCGTGGCTCCCTGGGGTGAGGTCTCCTGGGGTTCCCTGGGTTTAATGAGCCCATAAAAGTCATTAACAATCTGCTGGGTGTTTAGGGGAGCACGTGACCTGCAGCACCACCAGGTGTGAGGGAACCTTTGGCCTGTGGCTTCCAAGTCCACTGATTATCAACGATACCAACAGCAACAAGTGGCTTTTTATGGACCTCTGGTCTTGGCTCAGGAGCTCCTCAAAACACAATAGTGAGAGGTTTATTCTGCTGGGACATGGTTGGAGCAACCACATCCTCTCTGGTTGCTTCTCCAGTCCCACTTTTCCCCCCAGTTGGGAAAGGTTCTGGTTGTTCCAGAGCCCCTGAAGTCATAGAATCATGGAATCATTAAGGTTGGAAAAGACCTCAAAGATCACCCAGACCAACCATCAACACAGCTCTTCCAAGGCCACCACTGACCCAGGTCCCTCCAGGAAAGCTGGAAAGGGACTTGGGCCAAGGGCAGGAGGGATGGGCTGAGGGGGAAGGGCTTGAAAGTGGCAGTGGGGAGCTGGAGGTTGGAGCTGAGGAGGAACTTGTTGGCTGGGAGGGTGGGGAGAGCCTGGGCCAGGGAAGCTGTGGCTGCCCCATCCCTGGGGGTGTTGAAGGGCAGGTTGGCTGGGGCTGGAGCAGCCTGGGCTGGTGGGAGGTGTCCCTGCCCATGCAGGGGGTGGGATCTAGATGGTCTTTAGCTGATGGGATGGTTTGGGTTGGAAGGGACCTTCAAGCCCACCCTGATGATCCCACCAGATGATCTTCAAGGTGCTGCCCCATCCCTGAAGTGTTCCAGGTATCTGATGTGGGGCTTGGAGCAGCCTGGGCTGGTGGGAGGTGTCCCTGCCCAGGCAGGGGTGGATCTAGATGATCTTTCAGGTCCCTCCAACCCATCCCAGGATGATTCTCTGCCCCCCAGGCCGGGCCCTCAGGTTCTCCAAGCTCCACCCTCCCCACCCCTTCCTGCCTCCATCACTGGATCCTGGGGGACCTGCTGGAGGTGCCCCTGCTGTGCTGGGGGTGGCACTGGGGGGGGCTCCAGAGCCCCCTCCCAACCCCCCCAGCCTGTGACTCCCCAGGTCCATCCACCCCAAGAGGTTCATCCCTCTCTGCTGTGGTTGCTCCCAGCCCTTCCTGGCCCTGTGCCTGGGCAGGAGGAACCTGCTTATTTTCAACCCTGGGCCAGAGCACAGACTGAAGGGGGAAAAAAAAAAAAAAAAAAAAGAGCCTCAAAAATGACCAGTTTGGGGTTTGTTTTATAAAAATACCCCCGAGCCAGACAGTGGGATGGCCCTGCTGGGCTGGGGGTGGCAGCTCCTGCAGAGGATCTGAGCCCCAGAGTCCTCAAGACCCTTGGGGCAGAGAAGTGACTCTTTCCAAACCCTCTCGTTGTGCCCCAGCCTGCCTGGAATCCCCAAACTTGCAATTTTCATACCAAAATTCCTCCTTGTTGCCTTTGCCCTCAACCCGGGGTGGTTTTTCCTGCCCCAGAACTTCGTGGTTTCCTCCTTTGTTTGTTCATTCCCCTTTCCCAGCCCTGGAGCTTTAGAGGAGAAGCCTCAAGCTGCCCATCCCACCCCACCCCACCCTGCTCCAAAATGAGCTGTTGACCCCAAAAAAAGGGAGATTTTGGGGTGTTGAGCCCCAAAGTGGGGTTTGGTTTTGAGGTGAGGAAGGTCGGTCTGTGTTCCTGGGGGAGCAAATGGGCCTGGGGGGTGGGGGGTTGTTGGGAAAAGGGACATGGAAGGGGTGGAAAGTGTCCAGGGAAGGGACATGGAGATGGGGAAGGGCTGGAGGAGCAGGAGAAGGGGCTGGAGGAGCAGGAGAAGGGGCTGGAGGACCAGGAGAAGGGCTGAAGGACCAGGAGAAGGGGCTGGAGGACCAGGAGAAGGGGCTGAAGGACCAGGAGAGGGGCTGGAGGACCAGGAGAAGGGGCTGGAGGACCAGGATGAGGGGCTGGAGGACCTGGAGGGGAAGGGGCTGGAGGACAAGGAAAAGGCCTGGAGGACTTGTGAGGAGCAGTTGAGGGAGATGGGGATGTTCATCCTGGGGAGGGTCTGGAGAACAAGGAGGAGAAGGGGCTGGAGGAGCAAGAGGAAAAGGGGCTGGGGGAGCAGGAAAAGGGGCTGGAGAACAAGAAGAAGGTCTGGAGGAGCAGGAGAAGGGGCTGGAGAAGTTGTGAGGAGCAGCTGAGGGAGCTGGGGGTGTCTGTCCAGCCTGGAGCAAAGGAGCTGAGGGGAGACCT